TTGTTTTCTTTACTCTTGCTTATCAGGGGTTTCTAGAACACGACTGCTTCCCTCCTGGTTTCTCTCTCACACACAGCTTCCCCCATAATCCAGCTCATGTAGTTATTCATGAATGAGTATGGTGGGTATGTGAACTTTGGCCACCTGGAAGCCCCACTGCCTTTATCACCGTGTCCGAATAACTTCAGTGGCCCCAAACCCTAGTCCAACCTTCACACTGTCAGCAGTCTCTGAGAGGGAGGAGCCATACATCAGGTATAGAATTAGGACTATCGATTTGCTTTGCTCTCCCAAGATGCACCTGGACATCCAACAAGAGCTGGGTCAGCGAAGGATGATGATCCCTTCACCCTTTATCTCCAGCTAAAGGGGCTCAGTGACCTGGCTCAGCACAGGGCTTCACAGTTATCAGCATGTCCCTTATGCTTTCTAGATCTCCATTTTCCTAGCATAGAGCTGAAAGAACACATGGGGACCCCCGTGGAAAGGTCAAGTCCGGACTGTATTGAATTCTTTGGGGTGAAACAGTGGGAGGTGTGTAAGAAGTCAGTACCACCCGCTGCTCAAGTGCAGTGCCAAAGACCAGAACCACAGCACGGGACAGTTGAGATGATCTATCCTTACCAAGTCCCCCAGCCACTATGACTCGTCCACTCAGACCACCAGCCACGAAGTCCGCCCGGCGCTTCTTGAGGAAGAACGAGCGTTCCATCTTCAGCCATCCCCCTGCAAGTGATGTGCAGTGACAGGGCAGAGACAGAGGATTAGGTGCTGACGTCCCCTAACAAGTATAGACGGATCTCAGGTGGCTCTCACCCTGGGGGCTACCCCCTTGAGTTCAGGGTGCAGAGAGGCTCCCTTGCTGATTGAAAGAACACACTCTGCCTCTTCAGCCTTCTCTGGTGCTCGGCACAGTCTAACGTCTGCAACTCCCGTGAGTCCCTGTTCTATTTAGGTTTTTCCACAGTTCTAAACTGTGGTAAACAGAGTAATCAGGAGCCCCCTGATTCTCCATCAGCACAGGAAGAGTCCTAACCTGGTCCTATACAGATACCGGCGGTGATGGAGGAAAGGCCATGGTGAAAACAGCCAACCAGGCCAAAAGGTACCTTGAATAGAGTTTGACTCCAAACATATCCGTGAGTTAGGAAGGGAGCTTAGACACCAGAGAGGCCTGCTTGGATATGTAAGCAGCTCCAGGAAGATTTGCCAGGATGGGGAAAATCAGTCAGAAGAGAGGCCAAGGGGATGGGGACCCAGCTCACCCTGTTCCATGTCGAACACATCCATCGTCCGGAGGAATTTGGGCTGCCGATAGAGACGACCTTGTCGCAGGCCTCCCAGGCTGTACAGGTGGTTGTCCAGGGTCACAAAGCTGGAGAACGCCCGCTTACAGGGAATGTTGGGGAATTTGGTCCAGGACCGAGACTCTATGTCAAAGACCTCGAAGGCATTGACTGCATATTTAGACTGTCGTCCTCCTGGAGGTGGGAACAGGGTACATGGTGGGCAAAAAAAAAAAAAAAAGCAGTCCCTGAGAATGGGTAGGGCTGGGATTTCCCTTCTGTTGTTATTCAGTCATTTGAAAGACTTGTCAAGGGCTGGAGCAGTGTGATTACCCCCAGGGACAGAGACATTCATTCTCAGGCTGTGGGCCTTGCCTCCCAGGGAGCTCACCCAAGGGAGCAAGGAGAGGAAATGAACAACAAGTAGCTAGTCCCTACCCAGCACGTAGATCTTGGAGCCCCGGAGGAAGGAGGTGGCCGCGTATCTGGGAGTGGGCATGGGTGCCAGTGACACCCACATGTCCTTTAGCATGTCATAGTGTTGCAAGTAGTTGTGTGGACGAAGGTCCAGGCCCATCCCGCCTGCAGCGTACACTCGATAATCTAAAAGAAAAGCCACACACAGACAAGGCTCGGTGCACAGGCACCCAGAGGCAGGTCCAACAGAGTCCATAACATTTCACAGGCCACGCCAAGATCCCAGTGGCTGCGCTGCCAGAAAGTCATGCTGTTTTGATGCAGTGGGTAACAGCATTTGAGGTCCCTGCTATGGCTAAATCTGGGTCTCCCTGAAGCTGTGGCAGGACTGTGTGCCTCAGCCCTCCTTAGCACCAAATCCTTGCCAAAGCCTGATGCACTAAACCCTGCTCAGAGACAGATGGCAGTGAAGTCTAGGCCTAGATAACCCTTTGCAGGTTTGGCCCCCACCGTCCTCCTGTCCTCCTTTCTAGGCAGCCAGAGGGGAAGGCAAGGGAAGAGGCTTTTGCGATGATCTCAGGTAGTGACCTGCCCTATAGGAATTCTCAGACATTAATTCTCCAGATACAGTGAAGTCCCTTAGACTATAGTCAGCCCCAGTGTCACTGGCCCTCTCTACAAACTGTGCAGTCAGCTGTTCTGTCTGCTACCCCAGTAGGAAATGGCATTCTCCTTCACATAGACAGAGCTCACAGGATCCAGGAGGCCCCTGTGCTGAATGGGATAAGGCCAAGCCTGAATGAGGAGGAGGCTTTGGGGAACAGACCCCTCAGAAACCTTGCCCTTGGAAGCAGGGAGTCCCCCTTCTTTCTCCTCTGCTGTTGGCTTTTAGGTAGCTTTTCAGGGGCTCACTGGGCCAAAGAGCATGGACTAACATTTGTGTTTCCTCAGCCCCTGCCAGAATGGGAATCTTCAGCTTCTGTATGTGGTTCATGCTCCCAGCAGCCTTTGCTCACAGTCTTCCTCTCTATGGTGCCGTGACTACTGTAGAAGGTGGAGCCCTATTTCCATCCTAGTCCTAAGCCTAAAACTGGGAAAGGGCCTGTGACAAACTCCTGATTAGCATAAATTCCACCTTCCCTTCTAGGAACACCACCTGCTGGAAAAACTCTACCCAAGGTCATTCAGCCCAGTGGTCAGTTCTCACCCATCCTTTGAGGCTCAACTGCGATTCCCTGCGCTGCAGAGTAGGGGGCCCAGAGGACTTGGCTTCGTGCCTCCTGAGTGATGGTATCTCCAATGCTCTGCTACCACATGTAACTGATACCAGCTTCATCTGTTTCTCCCGATACACTGGAGGTCCTTGAGAATTGGCTAATCTATGAAGCCAGTACAATGGCTGACGTGTAAACGCTTACCAACATAACTGCTGAACCCATTTGACTTTATAGTTCGGGGCACAGGCATGGTCACGACTTACTATCTATTTAACCTTGGGGAATTAACCTTTCTGGGCTTCATGCTGCTTTTTCTAAAATAGCATAAAAATAGCACCAATCTCATTGGATATATTGCAAGTTCAAAGGGATGAAGCCCAATGATAAACCTTAGTTTTTAGCTTTCAGCAAGATTTATTGAGCTAGGGATGAAGTTCATATGCATTGTTTTCAGCGTCCCCATGGGCCTCCATCTTCTTTATTAAAAAAAAAAATACGGTCTTAACATGAAGCTTAGACTGCCCTTGAACTCATAAACCTTCTGCTTCAGTCCACTGAGCCCACGCTGCTGCCAAGGCAAGTCTTGAACTTGCCACTCTTCGGCCTCAGCCTCCAGAGTAGCTGGTGTTACAAGTCTTCATTCAATCAGCATCAGGCCTGGCTAAACCCTATTGTCTACCCTGCCCTGGGACTCTGGGTCCCAGCTTCTTGCTAATCACTTTCAGGGACCAGATTTTCTACTCTGTTCCTTTATCCCCATGACCTAAGACTGTGCCAGGAACAGAACAGGTGTTGGAGAAAAGCTGGTTTCTCATCTGCCATACGCCAGACAGGCAGCTGGGGTCATGTGGCAAGAGAAACAGGGAACGATGGGGAAAGGGAGGAAGGCCACTCCACCAAACCTACAGTATAGAGGCAAGTGTCTATAAACTTGGGTTTCTTAACTCCTATCCTCATAAAACTCTGTGTTTTAAGAAAGCAGCAGTTGGACCCCCCTCTATAGCGGTACTAGGCCCCAAAAGAGTGGAATGGGGACTTTGAGAAAGTAAAATAAGAATTGTAAAACCACATGCAATTCACAGAACTTGATGGACCTGGTTAATCCAACAGACGAGTCAATCTTTGGAACGTTCTGACCTCCACTTAGCACCACTGAAACTGCAGTCAGGAGTTAGAGAAGATCCTGGGATCTGGGTCCCAAAGCCTCCTTGGCAGATGACCTGGAGTTGGCTGAAGGATGGGATGAGCATCCTCAGGAACTACATAGATAGGTCTGGGTGTGTGTGTGGCCAGTCGCGAATGTAGTCATTCGGCTGAACGCCAGGGTCTGCAGAGTCATTCCAGATAACCCCATAGCTCACACCTTGGCTCTCCCTCTGCAGCGGCCTGCCCAGCCTGCCAGGAGGAACCCGCTGGAGCTGACTCCTGGCATCAGATGGAGTTCCTAGATATTTCACCTGCTCAGCCTCCCTTCCCAATCTGTTAAATAGGGGCAGTGGGTCTCTAGTGTCAGTACTTAATGTAAGGCTCAAATGTAATGGTTGATGTACCATTGGCCCCCCAAATCATGTGGCATTCCAACGGTTTTCCCGTGACCCTTTACTTTCTTCTCTATGCCCACCCTCAACCCTGGCCCCACTTGCCTTTGGCTGTAACAGAAATGCCCATGGCAGCCTCACGCAGCACGCTTCTCTTCTTCCACTTGCCCTCATCGATATTGTACATTTCCACGACCTTCAGAGGCAGTTGATTGGTGCCCACACCCCCGATCACCATAATCCGCTTTCCAAGGGCAGTAACAGCTACCCCGGCCCTGGCTGTGGGCAGGGAGGGCAGGGAGGTCCATTGGTCGGCCTCGGGGGAGTAGACCTCGAAGCAGTCCATGGGAACGCCATTGTCATCACATCCCCCGATGGCATAAACCTGCCCTCCGGTCTCCAACAGTGAGCAGTAGACCCGGCGGCTAGGCAGTGGAGCAAGGCGCTTCCACTGAAAATCCTTGACATTGGGCACCTCCATGGCAGCCCTGCTCGCGCGCCCTCAACAGCGTCCGGGCAAGGTCCAGCCCCGGAGCCCGCGGGCTACTCGGAGCCGGCCCGCACGTCCCCTCTTGCAGCCTCCATCTCTGGGCGCGGGCTCCCGCCGACGCCCGCTAGCTTCTCCCGGTCCCTCGGGTGTCAGCGGGGCGGCGACGTTCACCCCTGGCTCCACGGTAAGAACCGGGCGAATCTGGGGCAGCAAGGCGCCGGCGGTAGCCTGCCCTGGGTCAACTTTGCAGGATGAGCCCCGCCCCGCCCGGTCCCTGGAAGCACAGAGCCCACCCCGCCGCGCGTGGGCGCCGCGCTCGCCCCTCACTAGCTCCCGGGCGGCGCCCGCAGCCACGCTCGGCTTTCACCGCCAGCCCGGCAGCCCTGCCCTTCCTGTCCCGCAGGCCGCTGTCACCCGCCCAAACGAGCGGCTGCTAGACACGGAGCCCGGGACGGAGGACGCTGGTTCCCCGCAGCCACCACACCTGGGCAGGAACCCACGCGCCTCGCGGCGGAGGCTGTGGCCTGTGCGTCAGCCCGGGCGGTCGGGGCAGGCGAGGGCAGGGCCTGCAGTGTCTCCAGGGTCGGAGGCAGCCGGAGCAGGAACCGGTGCCCAGATGACAGTCAGATCCCGCCAGCGTGGGGGCGGGCGTTTGCGAGTGTTTGTTTTGGGTGAGGAGGCGGAGAGCCCAATTACCCAGTTTGTCTACAGTACACAGACCCAGTTCGTGACAGGCTGGCTTTGTTGGGGGGGGGGGGGGTATTCTCACACTGTCAAACCTCAGAGCCGAGTCAGGAGGCAGTGACATACATGCAGCGGGGACCCGCAGATGTAACGATCTGCACACGTATGCATGTAATTCACACAGAACCTTCCTTCCCTCTTGAGTGGACACTTCCGCAAAGACGCAGATAAAGTCACAGACAGGGGAACTGCAACTGAACACACCAATAGATAGGCTGGGAGGATCACCCCCAAACCTTCACACATCACTAGAAGCGCAAACCTGATTAGCAAATCCTGGTCCTTAAACTAGAAAAGATAACCTCTTCAAATCTCTCCCCAGCAACAGACCCTCCAGAACTGTGGTCCCCAGTAAGACAAGTGCCGGCGACACACCGAACCACCTAGTGGTGTGTCTCTCCAAATCTACACGGTCCTTCTAGCTGTCTTCCTTCCGCCTGGAACCGCTCAAGCTTGGGACCCTGACAGACTTTCCACTGTGAGTGTGCGTATTTGGTGTGTCCGCCCCCCCCCCCTCCACACACACACACACAACGCTGGAGATGAAACTCAGGGCTGTGCACTTGGGAGGCACTAAGTTTTAATTTGTGATAAGCTGTAGATTCGCACGTGGTTATAGGAAAGGAGCACTCTTTAGCTAGTGTCCCCCAGTGCTGATATCCGACCAAGCTAAAGTACGATCCTCAAGCAGAATACATTGTCATTATTGCAAAGGTCACATGTCACCTTTTGATATCTGGTACAACTCCATACTTCCTCCTTATTCTTCCCTCCCCAGGTCCTGACAATCTATTTCTGAAATCTTGTCGCTTCAGCCATGTTATACAAGGAGCTGGAGCTGTGGCTCACTTGGTGGGGTGTTTGCCTAGCAAGCACAAAAACGGGATTCCATCCCCAGCACTGCATAAAACCTGGTGCTGGCACAGTGGTATAGAACCCAGTGATGTATGCTCATAATCACATCACTTGGGAGGTGGAGACAGGAGGATCAGAAGTTCAAGGTCATCGTTGCTATATATAGTGCCCCAGGCCAGAGGATAAAATAAATGGATAAAATCATACAGTATGCAACCTTTTAGAGTCCCCCAACTCCCAATACCCCCAAACTCATTCCTGGAGGGTCATCATCTATGTTGTTGAAGGGCTTTCTCTCTCTCTCCCTCCCCTACCCCTTCATGGTCACGGTCTCACTATAGCCTCCAAGTGCCAGGATTGCAGACCTGGGCCACCGAACCCAGTTCTTCTCTTCTTTTTGAGACAGGGTCTCTCTGTGTAGCCCTGGCTGTCCTGGAACTCTCTGTGTAGACCAGGCTAGCCTCAAATTCACAGAAATCTCTCTGCCTAAGTGCTGGGATTAAAGGTGTGTGCCTCTCCATCAGATTTCCCTCCTTTATATCTTTGCAGCCTTCCACGGTACATGTTTCCATAAAGGTTAAAAAGTCATGTTTGCCAAGGGCTCACTGTACCTTCTGACAGGGAGCACGGGCCTGGTACATTTCTGTCAGTGCCCATACTGCTGCTGCAACTTCTGTGAGAAATAGAAGCTGTAACTCAAAACAGGCCTATCCTCCTGTCTTGGGCTCTTGACCTAAGAATTCTACTTCTTTTTAAAGCCTAGATTTGCCAAATCAACATCTAGATCCTCCACAGAAAAGGCTGTGATGTTTCCCCCCCGTTCAGTAAGAACTTAGAAATTCTAAGAGTGTAGTCTAAATTAATGAAGTCTCACAGGCAATACCATCCATTTCTTGCTCCTGTAAAAGGCCTCCAGACCTTTGCACAACTGCCCATGTGGTGGCCTCGGAGTCCAGCATGCAGGCAGCACCACCCGCCAAAAGGAGAACAAAGGCCTATTCGATCAAAGTCCACAGTTCTGGGGAAGTCCCTAAATGTCCTAACCTTACCTTTCAGCTTCTGCAGTTCCGCTTCTGGCTAACTGTTCCTGCTACATGAGATCTGTCAACTCAAGATGTTGTTTTTGTGCTTAAAAAGCCACCCTGAGAAAGGCTCAGGACTGCACTGGGGTTCTGAACACTCCCTGTCATTGCCAGCTGACTAGTAAAGACTTTCTATTAGCTTGAAGCCATGTGTGAGTAGTCTTCTCTGCGGGGTACCCCACAGCATTCTTAGGGGCCTAGCCTGCCTTGAACGGAATGAGTTTCACAGCTGCAGTCTGGGGTGGTCAGGGTGAATGGAAGCCACAGTCTTCTCAAATGGGCTTGTTGGGATCTGTCTTGAGCCTCGCTTGCCTCTGAGCCTTCACAGAAGTGGCAAAGCCAAGCAACTTCTCACATCCTCCCAGCAGGTGGGCAGACTTCCCGGAGCTCAGCCCTTGCGCATCCACTTTCTCATAATCTTCAACTGGAGGGAGACTGCCAGGCATCTGTGAGCATCTGTGTTTTGCAGAGGAGGGTCTGACACTCAGGGAGTGCTTCACTTAGAGCTGGCAGCTCATTCAGAAGACTGGGTTGAAGAGTCCAAATCACAAATGAACAGTCACGCATTAGCAAGGAGGCTGAGCCTTTCATTCTCGTCTGGCTTCTGGCCATGTGTCCAAAGTGATTCGGGTGAGACACCAGAGTCCCGTCCTGGACAGCCCTGTTCCAACTTTGCACTCAAACCCATAGGCCTTACTCTGTGCAAACCATAGGGGTCAAGAGACTCAGCTGTGGAAAAGTAGGGGAAAAAATCAGTTTGCGTCCAGGCTATGCCCAAGTGCTAATTCTGGAAGCCTGACTTTTCTTTTCCCTCTCTCCTTTCCCTGTTGCTCTTCCTCCCAGCCAGGTAACATCTCTTAGTCTTTACATTGAGGCACACTAAAGAATCTCGTAACCTAGCAACCACCACTTAAGATTCTCTGAGTCACCTGTGGGTTTCCACGCCTGGGCTGACGGTATTGGTATCAGGCCTGGGCCTCGAGGAGAGGAGTGCCATGCCCTAAGGGAGTCCCGTGTGTCCTTTGATTTCTCACCATCCTCTTCTGGTGCGCAGTCACTTTCCCAGTCAAAAGTTCTTCCTCAGGTCAAATCCAAATCATTCTTGCTCTAAGATCTTGCACAGCACCCGGTATGAGTTCCTGTTCTCTCTTTAAAAGTGTTTTCTGGGGGCTGGGAGATGAGATGGCTCAGTGAGTAAAGGCTCTTACCTCACAACCTGAGCTCTATCTCTGGAACCCACATAATGAAAGGAGAGAAGCAGCTCTCACAGGTTTACTCCATGTTGACACACACACACACAAACACACATGCACACTAAGTAAATAAACTAATTAATTGTAAAGTTTTGATTGGGATGACTAGTAGAGGGTGTCTGTAACATGACCAATGCCTTGGGTCACCTTCCCAGTACCAAAACAAATGAGTTTGACTTTTAGATGTTATGAGAAGAAGAAAGGAGGGGAGAGAAATGTTATGCATGCTTGGAGGTGCTTACTTAGCCCTGGGCAGCCGGCCAGTCACTATGTAAAACATTCCCACCTTGTATTTGTCGAGGTCAGCGGTCATAGAATGAGCAGCAAGTGTAGTGTGGCTGAGGACCTACTAAGCGCCTGTTCAATCTCCCCTGGGACCCAGCCTTCCCGAGCCCAGGTCTGTAATGAGAAAGCGGGGAGTGGAGACAGGCTACCAAGCGTCTCCTTGGAGTGGTACCCACTGATGCAGCACACATGGGTACGTTTTGTGGGACTGATGGGTTTCCAGAGTAGTCTATTTTGAGGAGACACCCTAACCTCCTTCCCCAGGAATACACGCTACCATTCTGCCAGCAGAGCTGCAGAGCACACAGTAGCTACTGTGTGAACAAGCATTGCTTCCTTCTTTCTGAGACAGCATCTCTACCTCTGCCTTGCTATATTTGGGCCGACATGCCCGGGAACTGGGCCCGCCTTCACAGGGTAGATGACCTGGAGGTCCACACCCTCCTCCAGCCCATCATGTTGGGGTTATCTTACAGGGGGGATGTCTTCCTTCTCGGCTAACTGCGGTTGCTCCGCTGAGTCTGAAACCACAGATAAACCTGGAGAACACGGGGGGGGGGGGGGGGGGGGGGGAGGTGGCACTTCACTGGATGATTGACAGGTGGCATTCCTAAGCAGAAGCCTGTTCTGAGAGGGGTGGGAGTGAGAACCGCTCACAAATCGCCAACAATCCAAGCTCTGTGAGCCCCAGCCCCACCCTGTCAGTCTGGAGTCAGCCCAAGGAAGGATTAAGGCTCAATTAAACTGGATGGGAGGCAGCAGGGCAGAGGTGGCAATCAGAGGCATGACATGCATCCTGTGCCCCTGCCACCTGAGGGAGAATGTTGGAGTGCCTTAGTGTCTCTAGTCTTGGTCAGAAAGAATTGAGTACATTCCTTTAGATCTTTCGCTCCCCTCCCCGCCCCCATCTCCTCTCTGCCTCCCACCCCAGTGCATAGCATGATTCCGGAACCTAGAGAGACTTAACGAGTATAATTTAAGGAATGTCTCTGCCACAGGGTGGGGACAGGATTGTTGTGGCCTTCAGACTCCTCAAAACTGAGATGCAGGGATGAGCCCGCATTCCTTCCTCTCTTCTCCAGTGCTCAGGATGAGAGCGGCGGTGCAAACGCTCTAAAAGACCTGAGTTAGTTTCCTGTGTTGATTGCAGGCATTGGAGAGGAAATGGGGCTTGTAATAAAGCCTGAGTGTTAGTTATAAACCAGGAGGAATTTCCTGGCCAGCGGTGCAAGAAACTGAGCACACACAGCAGTAAGTAGTAGGGCGGCGAAGCCATGGTGCCTCTGGGGAGCACTAGCAGCGAAAGGATACAGGACACACATCCATCACACCTACCTGTATTGTGCAACCTGGGCAGAGCATGCCCTCTCTGTGAGCTCTTCTTCTAGGTGGAAGGTGGGGCTGAGAGACGCTGGAAGGAGTCCCCTGGCTTTAGCATTCTTTGTTTCCAGGGACATTGCACAGGGCTGAAGCCCTAGGACAACAATCGCGTGGTCGTGGTGAAAAGGCGGCAGACTCTGGAGTTGGCGTTTTCACTTTTGTTCAGTGGCCTCATATGCAGAGAGATCCAGCTCCCTTGGTCCCTCTTCACAGTGTCGGTTACCCAAGGCCCAGTCATCACAGGGGCCTTACAGAGAGCCTTGCTCTGACCTGTGGCTGCTACTGCCCACTTGGCTAATGATAGTCTGTTCTTTGTGGTATTTGAGCATCTATCTGGAAGTCTAATTATACTTCCTACTGTGTTCTGACCTTTCTCAGCAGCCTCTTGTGCCCCACAGATGTCTGGCAGGACTCAAGGGCTCAAATCACATTGCAATCTGCCCCTTTCTTTAGAGAGGAAAGTGTACCAGTTAGTCTCAGCTCACTAGGCTGAGCTACATTAGCTTCGGAGCCAAGAGGGGCCCTTTCCTCTCCATCTCCAATGAAGGACCCCTCTCTGTCCCCACCCCCACCACAGACCCTGCACAGCCTTCCCCAGGGTTCAGTACGCTCTACAGAGCTTCCGAGACTGCACCTGGCCAGGCAGCACAGGCTACTCAGCCGCATCTCTTTAAAGACTCATTAGTAAGTTAATATTGCCATTTCCAGAGCCAGAAGCATCCTCCATTCTTCTTTATTAAAAAGAGCTCCATGTCCTGGCAGAGCTGAGAGGGGCTCTGAATGATTTACACAGCAGTCCCACTGCTGCCAGCCACGAAATCGGCAAGGAAGATTGATTGGCAGATGGGCCAGCCTGCCTGTCTAGCTAGTGAGTGCACACGTGTGTGTGTGTGTGTGTGTGTGTGTGTGTGTGTGTGTGTGTGTGTGTGCGCGTGCAGGGGCAGGGGGTTGTATTTCTGCTGGCAAGTACAAAGTGAGCAGGGTCTCAGATCCAGCACCCATCCCAGAGAGCACAACTTGGTAAGGCCAGGAGAGAAGCTGTCAGAAGTTGGGTTATAGGCAAGGCCTGCTGAGCCTCCGCTAAAGCTTCCTCATCCCAGCAGAACTGTCTCCTGAAGGACAAAAGTATAGGCCTGAAGGCTGTGTCACCATTGCAGAAGAGGATGGCTCACTCCCTGGAGATACTGCTTATTCCGAGGGAGGCATTCCCCACCAAGACCACATCACAGACTGGATTTTATTTTTCAACTATAGGAGGAGGCTTTCCAGGGCAGGAGCTGGGACGGTAGCTCAGCCGTCAGGGTTCTTGTCTAACTTTCATGAAGCCCTGTGTTCCAGCCCCAGCCCTGTATAAAACTGGGTATGGCCTCACACGTCTGTAACCCCTGCATTTAACTGGTGGAGGCAGGAAGGTCAGAAGTTCAAAGGTATCCTCCGCTGCTTGGTGAGTTTGAGGCTGGTCAGAGCTACATGACCTTTCTCAAAAAGAGAAAGGAGGGAGGGGAGTGGGAGAGGCAGGTTCCTTGACTTAGTTCTCCTTCACCTACCTTCTAGCTCATGGAAGACATCAAGGCCCACGATTTGATGGGACCATGGAGGGAATGATGGGGGCCACAGTTTGGTTAGTGAGATGACATTCAACCCCAGGCCTCTAAGGTGCCAGGAAGTGAAAGTGGTCACTCTCTGAGGTACCCACTCTCTTTTGTCTCTTCATGCCAGGGGTTCTGGGGACTCGTGTTCCCTACCGCATGTGTCTGCTGCCCTCTGAGAGTCCCCCATCCTTCTTCCCACCAGCAAGGCAGGAACTAAGGGATGGTTCACTGGGTGGGTCTGCACAGAGGAAGGGAACTTCTACTCTCTTCTGACCTCTTCCCTTCATCACACACACACACACACACACACACACGCACGCACACTCACACACATGCATGCACACAAACACACACACATGCATGCACACATGCACACACACACTTCCCATCCCCCTTTCCCTTCCCAAAGGTATTGCAGAAAGACAGTCCAGAAGCACAGTTGTGGAGGGGTGGGGTTAGAGAGCAGGCTTCATCCAACACCCTGCTTCAACCCAATCCCTTGAGAGACAGGCAATCTGCTGCGGCAGCAAGGCTGCCATCTGGTGTGCTGACCCATGTCTCCTCCGTCTACACACGGAGGAGGAGGGGATGCATAGCAGGCAGG